TTATGGGTTTTATTTTACTGGAGCATATGGTGAACTCAGCCATATGGCTTGTAAACAATGGTTTTAAGTTAACTAAGAAGCATAGTTCACTTAATCAGGGCTTAGAAATGATACTCAAACCTGTGATATATTAGATCACACATTGAAATAATGCAAGTATTAGAATATACTTTATGCTCCGATTTTGACTTTTGGACTTGCCTCATGAAAACCATCTTTTGATGAAGTAATAATAATTTTAGTTTGATTATAAAATGTATCTGTAGCCTATTCTGGACAATGTTTGTTTAAAAAAAATAGTTCCAAATAGTTTGACTTGTGAAATTTATTGAGATTCAAGTAAACAAAATAGAGGTTGTACAATTCTGGGTTTCTAATAGAAACCATCAAGGTTATATTATAAGCCATTGTGGTTTTTTTTTACTATATTAAATTTCTATAAAAGATAAAATGTAAAAACCAACCAAACAAAAAAATACTAACAAGGAAAAAGAGAAGGGAAGAGAAGAAAAGGTGCAAAGGAATAAAAAAAAAAGTAAGAAAAAAATAGCTTCTTTTTTTAGTAGTTACATGAATTTTTTGGTTTAAATTTCAATAAAACCCAGTATTCCTATAATCATGAATATCTCTAATAATCAAATCCTAATTTGTTTATAATTGCATATAATGTGCCACAATTTTTTTCAATTTCTTTTGGTTTGTAGCAAAAAGTCCAAAAGTGGTTTCCATGTAAAAACAATGTTAAACGTTTCTTTAATACACTTGTGCACAATTATTAAGCAAGGGAGTATTTTGACCATATCATTTTCATGCATATTTTCCATCCCCGAGCTGTATAAACCTGAATGTTTAGGGGATATAAGCATATCAGGTGATGTGTATTTGTGTAATGAAGGAGGGTGTGACCTAAGGAGATTAACAGCCTATATCAGGGGTGTCAAACTGCCGGCCCACAGGCCGGATATGTCATGCCAAAATCGCGCCCACCCCAGCTCTGGCAATGGGGAAAAAGTCGCGATACATCGCAACACGTCACATGACATTGCGAGTTTGACATCCCTGCCCTATATCATAATTATTAGGCAACTTCTTTTCCTCAGGCAAAATGGGCCAAAAAAGAGATTTAACTGACTCTGAAAAGTCAAACATTGTGAAAAGTCTTTCAGGGATGCAGCGCTCTTGAAATTGCTAAGATATTGGGATGTGATCACAGAACCATCAAACGTTTTGTTGCAAGTAGTCAACAGGGTTGCAAGAAACGTGTTGAGAAAATAGACGCACATTAACTGCCAAAGATTTGAGAAGACTCAAACGTGAAGCTACCAGGAACCCATTATTCTCCAATGCTGTCATATTCCAGAACTGCAACCTACCTGGAGTGCCCAGAAGTACAAGGTGCTCAGTGCTCAAAGATATGGCCAAGGTAAGGAAGGCTGAAACTCAACCACCACTGAACAAGACACATAAATTGAAACAGCAAGACTGGGCCAAGAAATACAGTGAGGGGAAAAAATTATTTGATCCCCTGCTGATTTTGTACATTTGCCCACTGACAGTCTATAATTTTAATGGTAGGTTTATTTTAACAGTGAGAGACAGAATAACAACAAAAAAATCCAGAAAAACGCATTTCAAAAAAGTTATAAATTGATTTGCATTGTAATGAGTGAAATAAGTATTTGACCCCTTCGCAAAACATGACTTAGTACTTGGTGGCAAAACCCTTGTTGGCAATCACAGAAGTCAGACGTTTCTTGTGGTTGGCCACCAGGTTTGCACACATCTCAGGAGGGATTTTGTTCCACTCCTCTTTGCAGATCCTCTCCAAGTTATTAAGGTTTCGAGGCTGACGTTTGGCAGCTCGAACCTTCAGCTCCCTCCACAGATTTTCTATGGAATTAAGGTCTGGAGACTGGCTAGGCCACTCCAGGACCTTAAAGTGCTTCTTCTTGAGCCACTCCTTTGTTGCCTTGGCCATGTGTTTTGGTCATTGCCATGCTGGAATACCCATCCACAACCCATTTTCAATGCCCTGGCTGAGGGAAGGAGGTAGTCACCCAAGATTTGACGGTACTCGCCCTGTCCATTGTGCCTTTGATGCAGTGAAATTGTCCTGTCGCCTTAGCAAAAAAACCACCCCCAAAGCATGTTTCCACCTCCATGTTTGACGGTGGGGATGGTGTTCTTAGGGGTCACAGGCAGCATTCCTTCTCCTCCAAACACAGTGAGTTGAGTTGATGCCAAAGAGCTCGATTTTGGTCTCATCTGATCACAACACTTTCACCCAGTTCTCCCCTGAATCATTCAGATATTCATTGGCAAACTTCAGACGGGCCTGTACATGTGCTTTCTTGAGCAGGGGGACCTTGTGGGCACTGCAGGATTTCAGTCCTTCACGGCATAGTGTGTTACCAATTGTTTTCTTGGTGACTATGGTCCCAGCTATCTTGAGATCACTGACAAGATCCTCCCGTGTAGTTCTGGGCTGATTCCTCACCATTCTCATGATCATTGAAATTCCACAAAATGAGATCTTGCATGGAGCCCCAGTCTAAGGGAGATTGAGTTATTTGTGTTACTTCCATTTGCAAATAATCGCACCAACTGTTGTCACCAAACTGCTTGGCAATAGTCTTGTAGCCCATTCCAGCCTTGTGTAGGTCTACAATCTTGTCTATGACATCCTTGGATAGCTCTTTGGTCTTAACCATGGTGAAGAGTTTGGAATCTGATTGATTGATTGCTTCTGTGGACAGATGTCTTTTATACAGGAGCTGAGATTAGGAGCACTCCCTTTAAGAGAGTGCTCCTAATCTCAGCTCGTTACCTGTATAAAAGACACCTGGGAGCCAGAAATCTTGCTGATTGATAGGGGATCAAATATTTATTTCATTCATTAAAATGCAAATCAATTTATAACTTTTTTTGAAATGCGTTTTTTCTGGATTTTTTTTTTTTGTTATTTTGTCTCTCACTTTTAAAATAAACCTACCATTAAAATTATAGACTGATCATTTCTTTGTCAGTGGGCAAACGTACAAAATCAGCAGGGGATCTTTTTTCCCCTCACTGTATCTGAAGACAGATTTTTCAAAGGTTTTATGGACTGATGAGAGTGACTCTTGACAGACCAGATGGATGGGCCCGTGTCTGGATCAGTAATGGGCACAGAGTCCACTTCAGCTCAGGCGCCAGCAAGATGGAGGTGGGTTACTGGTATGGGCTGCTTTTATTAAAGATGAGCTAGCTGGACCTTTTCGGGTTGAAGATGGACTCAAAATCAACTCCCAAATCTATTGCCAATTTTTATTAGATATTTTCTTCAAGCAGTGGTACAGGAAAAAGTCTGCATCTTTCAAGAAGACCCTGATTTTTATGCAGGACAATGTTCCATCACATGCATCAAAGTACTCTACTGCTTGGCTAGCTAGTAAAGGCCTTAAAGATGAAAGAATAATGAAATGACCTCTTTCCTCACCTGACCTAAACCCTATTGAGAACTTGTGGGCCCTTCTTAAACAGGAGATGTACGGTGAAGGAAAACAGTACACCTCTCTGAACAGTGTCTGGGAGGCTGTGGTTGCTGCTGCACAAAACCTTAATCATCAACAGATCAAGAAACTGACAAACTCCATGAACGGAAGGCTTAAGAGTGTTATTGAAAAGAAGGGTAGTTATATTGGTCACTGAAACCAAAATCTCACTTCTACTTTCTTAAACAGTCAGGTTTGAGGTTTATTAGCATTTTGGATTGACCGAGAGCATTGCAGTTGTTCAATAAGAAAACTAATCCTCCAAAATACAACTTGCCTAATAATTGTGCACACAGTGTAGTTACTTTTACCATCTCAGTCAGTTCCATTAACTTCGCCATCCAGTCTCCCATTGTGGCAATCTGTAAAAGTTAGCAATAGTGGCGAATATCTGTAGCTCGACTGTAGGATGAGGGTTTGGAGAACGAACCTTCACCCCATCTGTAAAAGTTCCACTGCAAAAAATACATATAGAAGTCCTATTTTTTTTCCTCTAACGTCTTATCTGACAAACCTAGAAGAAAAAAATGTACCTTTAAGAATTCTCTGAATTAAAGTACACATTCAATCCCATTAAGTCTTCGTCTTCTTACATGTCCACCAAAAGTGATAAAAGTACCTCAAGAGTGGATTACATTTACAAATCTACCTACTAAGTATAAAATCTTTCACTGGTAAAAAAAAACAAAACCAGTGGTAGTGGTATTGCTTTCCATGAAATAAGGTGTAAGAGGTGGGGAAAAGAGGCATGCACTTCTAGATTGCAGTTCTCATATTTAAAAAAAAAATCAAAAAGGCTTCCCATTCAGTCCCGCCTGGACTACTGTAACGCTCTCTACATGGGGCTCCCCTTGAGGAGCACTCGGAGGCTCCAGTTAGTCCAGAATGCAGCCGCGCGGGCGGTGATGGGAGTGACTCGT